TACTGAGGCCTGCAGAGTATTTCAGGTACTACGGTGTGTGTACTTTATTAGCTTTTAAATGACATGTAGTTATTTTATTCAGTATTTATCTTATACTGCTAACGTGTATTTCCTCTCTGGGGATCAATATCTCTGTCTCGAATGGACCAAGCAGGAACCTCTGGGTCTGAACCTGAAGCACCTTAAACCTGCGTCCTCTCCAGCAGCCAGCAGGGGGCGACTTAAACCTGCTGCGGCTGCAGAAAGAAGTGTGATTGTATAAAAGTCTGTGAGAAAATGTTTCTACTTGTCAGCTGATTTATTCCCTCAGTAAACTCTTTCCTGATGAGTTTCTGGTCTCAGTCGCTAGTTTCAAGTCTTCTTCAACACAGCATGATGTTCATTTAGTAAATTATGGTCCCATTTAGAGGAACAGACCAGGAAGCAGCTCTATCCACCATAACTACAAATGGACTCCTCAACCATCACTCCACCAAGTTGGTGAGAAACTTGGGTGTCATGAGTGCGTCTGGTTTTTGAGCAGCCCAAAAGGACTCATGTCCCTCCATTACTCAGTGACCTCCACTGGCTCCCCGTGGCCTCCAGAATGAAATTCAAGTCACTAATGCTGCATACAGAGTAACTACTGGGTCTGCACCATCTACCTAAACTCCATAATACAAACACTTACGTTCCTTCTTGGCCGCTACGCTCCTCCAGCGAACGCCGCCTGGCTCTGCCATCCCTTCACACAAAGCAATCCCAGTCCCTGTTCTCATCTGTGACACCACGATGGTGGAACGAGCTACCGCACGCCATCAGAGGGGGGGCGTCCCTCTCTAACTTCAAGAAGCTCTTGAAAACACTTTCCAAATGAGTCGGCTGCTCATTTTTCACTGAGTGCGTTTTGTTTTCAGCCTGTTTGTCACTAACTAAAATTAATTTAATTAATTAAGCTAATATCACAACTAACGTGAACTACAGATGCACCTTGCTAACCAAGCTAGCTAGCTCCACCCTCTTGTCCAAATATGGTCACATCCGGTTCCAAAACAAACGAGATGGCGACGGCCAAAATGCCACACTGGAGGCTACAGATCGCTGGTCCACAAACCAACGGCGGCTCCGCCCACTTATTTTATAACACCTGTATTTTGGTAACTACAAAGTTTTAATGCTAATGAATCAACATTTAGTTTTTATTTATATGTTGTTGTTACGGGAGTGAAACTGGTTTCATAAACCTGTTAACCAGCTTCACTAACGAGCTGCTGCTGAGAAGCCCAGGTGTGGATTCATCCACCGCAGAAAGTAGTCCCCAACAGATGCTCTATTTCGGGTTAGAAAGCAGACTGTTAATTTAAAGCAACATTACAGCTTCTCTCTCTTCCTCCTCTTCTTCAGGCTCTTCAGGCCGTGAGGATACCGAGCTGGCTTCTTCCAGAGAACTCACATTGTACATTAAACTCTTGTTGCTTCTTCTTACAGCTCGCCGAGAGTCGTGTTGGTGCCGTAAAGCGTTACGCCGTTGTTTATTAATGATAAATGTCCTGCCTGGGACTCCAATGTACTTCAGCTGTAGTGGAAATGATTTTAAAGATCCTACATAAAGCTGCTTTAACTGATGCATCTACAAACACACAGGTGAGTCTTTTCTGAGTGCAGGTGTGAACTGAAGGTGTTCCTGTTGCCTAGCAGCACACACACAGTTTAATGAGGCGGTTTAATGATCCAGGTTCAGTTTACAGGTTTTATTTTAGCACATGAACTGATCACAACTCAGCATCAGCTTACATCACTACTGGACTACATCTCCCATCATCCCCTCTGGGTTTAAGGCTACAGCAGCTGCTCGGTGACACAGAAACAAGATTTAATAATCACACAAACAGGGAAGATCAAACGATAAGAACAGGAAGAAACGGCGAGCATCACTAAATATTGAGCTGCGTTAAAGCTCCTGTGAAATTTCTGTTTACATTCAGAGTTTCTCTTCTAACAAACATGTTCGGTTTGTTTCCTTCATCATTAAAGAACTGCTGCTCTAACAGGAACTCCACAGGGACTTTTTAACTTTTCAAACAGCAGAAACAGGAGGACATTCTGTGAGTTATTCAACTTTAAAATGTTAATTTACAGAAACACTTTTCAGTTTACAGACTTTAAAAACCTATTTTCAGTCCAAAATTCAAATTGAGTTCTTGAATCTGTGGTGGAATCAATAAAACCAGAAAGATGAGGGTTTTTTGTCCCTTGACATCGTCTTCAATGCGACGTCCTTCACCTTTTTTATACTTCATTTACCAACAAGAACCCGTTAAACTCCAGGAAGCTTTAACAAACTACAAAAGTCAGAAACTTGTTTAAAAAAATAAACTTTTCCCAGTTAAACTCTGATTGTATGCGGTTGAGTTTCAGTGCAAACGTTAGATTCCAGTTAAACAGTCATGTGACCTGCTCAGAGAGCTAATAAAACATTTAATTAGTCATGTTTTCCAGTTCATTTCATCCAGTTACACAACGTTTATGTCTTTTATCTTCAGTGTCACTGTGAAATGATTCATGACCGTTCGTCTCAACATGATCGGGACCTTTTGGAAGAAAAATATGAATTAAATGTTAGAAATTATCAAATTAAAGTACTTGTGGTTAAATGATGCGTTAAAAAGCATTTTAAGAATCAAAACGTTGAGGTATTAACCTTTAATTGTTAGTTGCTGCCCTAAACAGTTTAGCATTAGCTTAGTACATGTTCACTACATTTATAAAACCATAGCCATAATGCTACGTTAACATTAGCAAGCTAACATTAGCTTATCGGCTTCTTGGGTTCAGGGTTTTGAAAACTGCTTTATTAAACAACCACCGAGACTGGATGTGTCCATGATGAGTCGGCTAAAATTAGCTTGCTAGCCGATGTTAGAGTTACAAAGCTAACATGTTGCTTCTAATTTATCAACGTGTTTTTTTCCCAAGCTTGGTCTCACTTCACTCTCAGCTGGATCCCAGTCGGTCTCACCTCCTGATGTTCAGATGCTAACAACAAGGTACCGCCTCTTAGCTAGTTAAATGTTATAGCTATCCAGGGTTCAGGGTTAAATGATCAGTAAAACAAAAACTTGAGCTAAAGATGTGACCTTGGGTTTCACAATTTTAATTTTAAACTAAATGATTCATCAGTTTATTGGGAAAATACTTTGTGCAGATTGACAGACCTAGCTAGCTGGTATCAAGCATCATCCCTGTTTCTTGTACATCTCAGCATAAGTTAGCTAATGCCAGCTAATTAGCTTGATTAGCTCATCGGCTACAGAGGTTCATGGTGAGAAGGACTGCAAAACAGCCGACAGGTGTGAATTTGTCTGTGATGAGTCAGCTAAAATCAGTTAGCTTGCGTGCAGTTGTTAACTGCACAGCTATTGTGCTTGTTAGCTTATTAGCTGTTTTTCTTATGTTCATCATTTGTTATTCTAATTTGATATTATGTCTTTTAATCATAGTTTAGTTTGACTTGTTCTTTAGTTTTAGATTTACTTTCTCTTTAGCTGTTAGATTGTTAGCCTGATTTAAACTTCTGTGTCGAGTCAACGCCGTAGCCCGCAGCGTAAGCTACGCACGTAGCCACGCATTTAGACGTGTGTCGGTGCCTGCATCACTCTGCCATTACACCACCAAAACACTAGTTGGCAGTAGCGTTATTCTGCCACTGTGTAGACTTTTGCTGGCCGAGCAGGCTAACTTCTGTTTCAGCCTTTCGCTAACTTAATGATAATCGTGTGGCTTTTCTAGACTTTTTAAATGTTAAAGACGGATCAAATTTCTTGTGGGCTTGGGAGAAATGCTACTAAGCCGACCAATCACAGTTCTTGTGGTGTGCGTCGCCTCGACATGTAGTTACATTTTTAGGGAGGTGCAAGTCACGCTAGAGCCTCAGGCTACGGCGTAGATTCGACGCAGAAGTATAAATCAGGCTTTGATGCAGCTGGTCCTGATCTGTCGAGACGCTCAGTCAAAGACTGAGATCTGATGTTTCAGTTTTTTTGAGGGTTGGACTCAAACATTGTGAGAATCAGTCCAGTTCTTCTTAAACATTCCTGAGTCTCTGAGTTTCCAGCTGCGACTGGAGGCTGTTGATTCGTCGTCGCCTCCGGTGTTTCAGAAAACATTCACATTCAGAAAGAAGGAGGTGAACCTGCTGCAGACAGTCTCCTGCTGCAGGGTCTGCGCTCTGCGTGCATAGTGGTTGGGTTTCCCAGCTGTGTAGGTTTTAAGGTCTCAGTTGGCTCCAAAAAAAACTTAGTTTCTTATGACGTAAAACACCATGAGTTCGAGCAAAAATCTCTCACGTGAAAAGTAACAGAATAACTTGTGAAGAATGAAACCCTGCTAGAGACACGGTGGTGCTAACGCTAGCGTGTTAACTTGCTCACTATGACAATGCTAAACTCAGCATGTTAGTATGCTAACATAGGCTAAATTGGTATTCACCAAAGTTATTTTAATTCACCTTCATACAATATTCATCCTCCTTCGGCAGCTGTCTCATCTTCATGTCCAGCTGCAGAAACCTTCATCCTGTTTAGAACTTCTCCAACAGGTGTTGTTAAATTATTCAAAAAGCAAAATAAAAAGGATCCAAAGTGATGGATGTGAACAGAAGTGACATGATCAAGTACCCGCAGAGTTTCTCCTCGTCTCTGAACTCTCGTCTTGGCACATTTTCGTTCACTTTGACAAGTTTTGTTTTTAAAGGTACCTTGTTTTTATTTGTGCAAAAAAAAAGTGACTTTATGGGATTTTCAAAACCTGGAAAAGTGTTTAAGGACGTTAAAATTAAATTTATGCTACTGTGGTTTTGTGAGGAAGATGTTTACTTTGTGCACGGAGTCATTCAGCCGGACTGTCCTGGTTCCTCCCGACTGGCCCTCCTGATTTTTCCAAATAATTTAAAAGTGGTTGATCCAGCAGCTTTGTCTCAAGTCCGACAAACAGAAGCAGACGCTGCGTTCAGCGTCGTGGCGTTACCTGGACTGGAGCGGTCGAAACCAGTTCCTACCAGAACGACTCAGTACCATGTGGCTCACTTCGGGCTCTTGCAGTCTGGGTTTAGTTTGGTGCTGTTGGAGGGGGATGGGGGAGGAGGAGGAGTCCAGTTGTCGGTACAATGCCCTCAACTCCTTCACCTCCTCCAGCACTTCCTGTGCCTGGCTCCAGGCCGCCACCGCCTCCTTCAGGAGTCTCTCGGCTTCAGCTCGCGCTCCTTCAGCCGACTCCTTTCCCTTCATCTTCCCTCGCTCCCCGGCCTCCCCCCGCACCTCCCTCAGCAGCCGCTCCGTCTTCTCCAGCTTCTGGCTGATCAGCTCCTGCAGCTGGCTGACTGGCGCCGTCGTGCCGCTTGGCGTGGACGCTGGTGAACAGGACAACGTCTTGTTCTTCGCAGCTTTAGAATCTGAGTGCGTCAGGATCTCGTCCATCGAGGCGCAGCGGTTTTTCTCTGCAGTCGTCAGGCGTTTTCCACCCTGGGGGGTTTGGGCGGGCCCCGTGTGCTCCCACACCACCGCCACCTCACGGGGAAGGCTCTGGGATTTCCCAGAAGCCTCGGCGGTTCTGGCAGAGAGATCGCCATCAGTTTTTGACCTGGGACAGTCCTGGCCGAGGTGGGATTTGTCCACGTCGACACTGAAGGTGTCGCAGCCGTCGGCTCCCTGAGGAGACAAAGCGTCCTCCTCCTGGATCAGATCCAGGGTCAGCATCCCGTCTGAGGAGGAGGTGGAGGCCTAACAGACAGAGAGGAGGTGCAACAGGTCAAACAGAAACCTTTCACACACCTGTGACCACATTCTGAGCAGTGACACATGAAACCTGGTTAAAGTCGTCCTCAGGTTTCACCATCTGAAGCATGAAAGACCTTTTCTTTACTTGCTTGTTGTGGAACCTTTTGACAGGATCACACATGTTCTTCATCAGCAAATCACTTTGCTTTGATGTTCAAACTTCACATCGTTTTGTGCGACAGAGCTCAACAGAACTCTCCCAAAACTCCTTATTTAAAGAGCATTGAGCCTTAAACCGATCCAACCAGCTACGATATGAATCATGACCACAGAATGTTTGAAAACTGTGTACATCATTATTTAACTGAGTGAAGGAACTACTTTTCCCATAAACCATTGCAAATGATGAAATTTCCAAAGACTTCCAACCTAACGATAGTTTAGCTTCTTCGTACGGTTAGGTGCTAGCAGGAACAAACATGACATTTGAGGGTTTTAAACATTTTCAACAGTAACAGCGAGCTCCACCAATCAGAGACGATGCTGTTACACCCGAGGACTGTGGGTAGTGTAGTACTTCTCTATGACATCATGACTAAAACATATTTTACTTATAACAATGTTGATATCACGTGGACTTCTACAGGAGCAGAAACAAGCTTATCACAGTCTGGTAGCTGGTGGTGAGTCCAAATCAGACGGTTACGAAGGATCAGAATCCCAAAACAGAACATGACCCTCACTGTTCAGCTCTATTTATAGGACTTTAGAGGACTGGGAGGACCATGTAATACAGTCAAAAACTCCACAACAAGGGACTAAGTGGCCCCTTGAAGTTGTTCTGTGTTGAACTCTTTACAACGTGAGGAACTCAGACAAATGAAAACTGTGAACATCAGCTGATGAAGACCATGTGATTCAGTCAAAAGCTCCAGAACAAGCGCGCAAGTGGACCTTGAGTCAAGATCGGTTTCAGTTTGAGTTATGACTTGTAACTCTAACTACGACGTCTTTCTTTCCTCACAATTACAACGAAGGTGTTAATTTATTACACATTTTATTATATATATTTCAGCAAATATCTCAAATGAAGTGATGACGTTTTATGATGAAAAGGCTTCTGATAGGGGAGAGTGAGTGAGGAGGAGCAGCAGACTGACCACAGCCAGCAGGTGACCTCTGGTCGGCAGTCGGCGGTTGTGAGGAATCTTCACTCGGTCTCGAGTCAGGTGAGACAGCTGCGAGTCGTCCACAATCACCTGGAGATGACGACACAAACACGTCAGGTGCGAAAAGAAGCAGCAAACCTTTATTAACACGTAAAACACGAACACACTTTCATTTCAGATTGCATTTCAAGGCTTTTCCAGGACTCCCTGGATGAACACCACTGATGAGGCACTGGTTCTTTCAGCCGGGAACATAATGTGTGTGTCAGAGAACGGGTATTGATCAGAGTATTGATCAAAGTATTGACTGGTGGAAAAGGTTGTTGACTGAACCAGCAGACAGCAGCTCTGACACCCTGAAATAAACACAGCTGTTACAGGAAATACTGCCTTCTGAAACCTAACATGTAGACGGCTCAGATTTAATGCAGAGCTCAAGTTGCATTAAACAAACAGACAAGTGAAGGACAGGTGCATGCAGGTGTTAGTGACTATTGTGTGTCAGCTGATTAACAAAGATTAGATTCAAATTGGAGGATTTCATCATCTCCCACGAACAAACACAGACATGTTGTTGGTATTAATAAATAATAAAAATGATAACACCAGGTGTAGCCTTTAAAAACTGGGCTCTGATCCGCACCTCATCCAGGATCCTGTTTTTGGCTCGCGTGACGGCGGCATTCAGGACGTTGATCCAGGACTCTTTCTCCTCCGGACTCACAGCCAGGAAGACCAGGTTCGGGACCTGCAACACACAAAACACAGGTTCACATGTGGGGTTTTAATCCAGGTGTTCTGGCTTCATACGTGGTCCTGAGGAAACGGGTCTGTGGATCACACAGAGGAGACCTCGCGTTAGCCTTTAGCAGCAGGTTTATTTTGTTGTAGCTTGTTAATTTAATGATTCTTCATTTTAGTTTTGGTGTTAACTACTAGCTTGTTTTAGCTTGTTGTTTTTATTAGTTTAGTTGTAGTTAGCTTGTGTTAGCATGTAACATGTTTTGTATTTGAAATATGAAATAGGATTTAGTCATTTGTATTTGATAGGCTCCATGAAAATGGCTTCATATTTTGTTTCAAAATACTTCGGTGTTTTGTATTTTGCAGTTTAAAAATACTGTAATACAGTGTGAGAAGTCTACCTGATGACATCATATAAACGCTGCCTCTGATTGGTTCTTCTCAGTAATTTGCCCAGTGAGTGAGATCAGAACAGAAAATTAATCCAGACTAGATTCCATCCATTTTTAGCATAAATTTCTATGATTCTTAACACTTCCTGTTTTGGTGTTTGTTTTAGCAGCTAAATTGTTTAACAGTTTACGTAATGTTCTATAACTACTAGCAGCCCTCACAGTTAGCGTTAGCCTGCTACTTTCAGCCTGTGTGTTTATCGGTTTGAAAGTAAAATAATAAAGTCTTTTAGAGGTGATCAAACTTTTAGGTAAACATGAAACTGTTGGTTAATTTAAAACAAACCTTCCTCTGCGTGATTATATGTGAGATTTATCACATGTTGCTCTCAAACTGTTAATCAGCTGAGTCAGTTTCGGGTCATGGATCGATCAAACAGGCTGATAGATGGAAGGTTAGTTAGGCTAATACAGCACTTTTATTTGAAACATTGCGTGGCTGCTGTATTCTGTAGGTTTTTTGATGCACTTAAAATTATTTGGTTTCTCATTTTAAAATACATTTTGATGTATTTCTGCCCGTCGCTGCTTATTAGATTCTTGATTTGTTGTTAGCATGTGTTAGCTTGTGTTAGCATGTTGTCAGAAACATTTACGGTTCATTAAGAGCAACAGAAACTGGAGTCACACTCACTGTATGTGTAAACAGACTTAGTGAAGTAATGAAGCCGATTCTGGTTTAAATTCTGATTCAGTCTTTTAATGTTTGTGATTGGACGACAGTGCTGACATCACGCTGCACAACACTGGTTGACCTATCACAGTGCAAGACCCCCCCCACACACACACTTTGCTGTCACCAGATGGCCGAGTGTGTGTGTGTAATAAGAGCTGCCACCTGTCTGCAGGACACCTGATCCCCTCCCCAAGGCATTCTGGGTATTTATGGGATGGCCTGCAGATATGTGAGCGCTCCTGTTGAGGAAAGTGGTTTAAAGCAGAATCTCCACCTGTTCGCTGTCAGCTGTTCCTGTTTCCATTCACATTTACTTTGGTTTGTAAAAACAGTTTCCTGTTTGTGGATCAACAGAAACTTGCAGAATAAACGCTGCAGTCCCGGAAGCAGCAGCTGTGTGAGGATGATGAGGAGGTCGTAACCTTCGTCACATTCACACCTGACACTAACAGAAAGGTCTGATGTCGTCATGTTCTCCACGTGGTTCCACCGTAACTCTTTTAATGATGTCAGATGTTTCTGATCAATAGTGACCCCACCGCGGCTCACGTTAACAAATATTCTCTGTCATAGATTTATTTAATAATTACAGAATAATCTGAAGGCCGTCCGTCATCCTGAGAGACAAGACTGAGGCTGATATCCGTAACGTTCATTATAGCCCCGTTTCCACCAAAAGTACCTTTAGTACCAGGATCAGACCGGTGAGTTCTCAGGTGAGTTCTCAGGTGCACAGACAGACAGGTGAGTTCTCAAATCACTGAGGGTCAAATCACTCCAATCCTATTGGCTTGTTGCTAGAACGGTAAGGTGTGACGGAATAACCGGAGGAGTATAAAGCACACCTGTACACACTCATCATTAGCTTTTTTTCTATTCAGCAGGCGCTCTGTATGTTGTTTGAAGAAAGCTCCAGTCCTACAAGCAGTGTGTCTTACCTGAAGAAGAAGTCTACCAGCATGTCCGGCAACCAGATGTACAGGTGTGTTTTTTCTTAAGCACCACGCGCCACCTCCACGCCGGTCTCTGCCATTCTGCCTTGGTTGTTTGTGTAGCGGCTGGCTGGGCCACTCCGCACACATTCATTCGGTTTTACAGTCTTGACCTTCCTTCGGCACCTGGCACTCGTGCGCTCTCCTCTTAGTCGTGCCACTTTATTGCACACAGGGGCAGGCGGGGTTTTCGGCACGGTTTCGTGGGTATCTCGTTCCCATAGTGTCGTAACGCAGTTCGAGTTCCCTCGAAGGGGAACGTCTCGGGGTACGTATGTAACCCTGGTTCCCCGAGAAGGGGAACGAGACACTGCGTCGGCCCGCCGCACCTCTCTCCCCGCCTGAAGCGCCTGCTTCATAGTTTAAGCTAATGATGAGTGTGTACAGGTGTGCTTTATACTCCTCCGGTTATTCCGTCACACCTTACCGTTCTAGCAACAAACCAATAGGATTGGAGTGATTTCATTCACATTCAGACCTGCTTCGCCTAGAGGCGTTCCCATAGTGTCGTAACCGACGCAGTGTCTCGTTCCCCTTCTCGGGGAACCAGGGTTACATACGTAACCCGAGACGTTCTCAGGTGAGTTCTCAGGTGAGTTCTCAGGCATACAGACAGACAGGTGAGTTCTCAGGTGAGTTCTCAGGTGTACAGACAGACAGGTGTGTTCTCAGGTGAGTTCTCAGGTGTACAGACAGACAGGTGTGTTCTCAGGTGTACAGACAGACAGGTGTGTTCTCAGGTGAGTTCTCAGGTGTACAGACAGACAGGTGTGTTCTCAGGTGATTTCTCAGGTGTACAGACAGACAGGTGTACAGACAGACAGGTGTGTTCTCAGGTGTGTTCTCAGGCGTACAGACAGACAGGTGAGTTCTCAGGTGAGTTCTCAGGCGTACAGACAGACAGGTGTGTTCTCAGGTGAGTTCTCAGGCGTACAGACAGACAGGTGTGTTCTCAGGTGAGTTCTCAGGCATACAGACAGACAGGTGAGTTCTCAGGCATACAGACAGACAGGTGTGTTCTCAGGTGAGTTCTCAGGCGTACAGACAGACAGGTGTGTTCTCAGGTGAGTTCTCAGGTGTACAGACAGACAGGTGTACAGACAGACAGGTGTGTTCTCAGGTGAGTTCTCAGGTGTACAGACAGACAGGTGTGTTCTCAGGTGAGTTCTCAGGCGTACAGACAGACAGGTGTGTTCTCAGGTGTGTTCTTAGGCGTACAGACAGACAGGTGTGTTCTCAGGTGAGTTCTCAGGCGTACAGACAGACAGGTGTGTTCTCAGGTGTGTTCTCAGGCGTACAGACAGACAGGTGAGTTCTCAGGTGAGTTCTCAGGCGTACAGACAGACAGGTGTGTTCTCAGGCGTACAGACAGACAGGTGAGTTCTCAGGTGAATTCTCAGGCGTACAGACAGACAGGTGTGTTCTCAGGTGAGTTCTCAGGCGTACAGACAGACAGGTGTGTTCTCAGGTGAGTTCTCAGGCATACAGACAGACAGGTGAGTTCTCAGGCATACAGACAGACAGGTGTGTTCTCAGGTGAGTTCTCAGGCGTACAGACAGACAGGTGTGTTCTCAGGTGAGTTCTCAGGTGTACAGACAGACAGGTGTACAGACAGACAGGTGTGTTCTCAGGTGAGTTCTCAGGTGTACAGACAGACAGGTGTGTTCTCAGGTGTGTTCTCAGGCGTACAGACAGACAGGTGTGTTCTCAGGTGAGTTCTCAGGCGTACAGACAGACAGGTGTGTTCTCAGGTGTGTTCTCAGGCGTACAGACAGACAGGTGAGTTCTCAGGTGAGTTCTCAGGCGTACAGACAGACAGGTGTGTTCTCAGGCGTACAGACAGACAGGTGAGTTCTCAGGTGAATTCTCAGGCGTACAGACAGACAGGTGTGTTCTCAGGTGAGTTCTCAGGTGTACAGACAGACAGGTGAGTTCTCAGGTGAGTTCTCAGGCGTACAGACAGACAGGTGTGTTCTCAGGTGAGTTCTCAGGCATACAGACAGACAGGTGAGTTCTCAGGCATACAGACAGACAGGTGTGTTCTCAGGTGAGTTCTCAGGCGTACAGACAGACAGGTGTGTTCTCAGGTGAGTTCTCAGGTGTACAGACAGACAGGTGTACAGACAGATAGGTGTGTTCTCAGGTGAGTTCTCAGGTGTACAGACAGACAGGTGTGTTCTCAGGTGAGTTCTCAGGCGTACAGACAGACAGGTGTGTTCTCAGGTGTGTTCTCAGGCGTACAGACAGACAGGTGTGTTCTCAGGTGAGTTCTCAGGCGTACAGACAGACAGGTGTGTTCTCAGGTGAGTTCTCAGGCGTACAGACAGACAGGTGTGTTCTCAGGTGAGTTCTCAGGCGTACAGACAGACAGGTGTGTTCTCAGGTGAGTTCTCAGGCGTACAGACAGACAGGTGTGTTCTCAGGAGAGTTCTCAGGTGTACCGTGTTTCCTGGCGTGCTGCAGCGCTGCAGCCTGAACTTGCTGTGGTTCTTTTTGCTGCGACTCTTGTTCTTCCTGATCTCCTCGCAGCGTTCGTAGTCCGACAGGTCCAGAACCTCGTCGGCCCGACCCAGCTCCTTCACCTGCAGGTCACACGGGTCAAAGGTCAACTCAGATTTTATTTATACAGCGGCAGCTCATGACAGGATTAAAACAGATGCTTCAGAGCCGTTGGTGGTCAGAGCCAGGCTAGCTGTTTCCCCCTGTTTCCAGTCTTTATGCTAAGCTAAGCTAACCTTTCCTGACTCAGAGGGACAGAGAAGATGAAGAGCTTCCACCTGCTGCAGGTTTTCTTTCAAAGAAGCAAAATAAAATGCAAATCCAGTCAAAGCCAGCAGAATGAGATTTACAGACGTGGAAACTTTCTTCAGGAGATTTAAATAGAAAGCAGCGTATTTCCCTAAAGCAACAGTGACGTCCTCGCTCTGAAGCTTCTGCAGGACGCTCACTGATGACCACAGACTGTCGGGTCAGTGAGACTTTAATATGTTCAGAGCGAAACAAAGTTCATTTTAATGGATTCTGTCAATTATTATTATTGTTATTATTGTTGTTGTCTTACTTCTGTTTGTAGGATAATCAAGTTCTGAGTGTTGGAGCTACAGTTCCCATAATGTGGCTTTGGGGGATGTAAACAGGAAGTACAATGTTGCCATGGAGTCAGTGAGTTAGCTTTGAGCTTCAACTTAAGCTAACTGCAGTTAGCAGCTCCTGTTAGCAGTTAGCATGGATGTTCAGACAGCGCTCTCTGGATCAGTGTGAAGGTTCTCAGGAGGTTCTGCAGCGTCTCTCTGGTTTCTGAGCTGACTTCCGGACCGACGTCAGAGATCGTGATTTCCTCGGGAAGTGAAGTCAGTCTGAATGATTCAACACGAGTTTCATGTCTGAGAGTTTGGATCTGACTGAGTTCTGACTCTGAGAAGGAGGAGAGAGTTTTTGACTCCAGCGGCAGTTTAACAAGCGTATGCAACGAAACAGAATCAGTGTTAAATAAATAAAGGAGGCAAAATGTATCTCAGAGATCTGACTGCTCTGCGTCTGCGATGGACTTCACTACCTTTAGTGGCCGAGTGAAGTTAGGACAGCTCCTGCAGAAAGTACGAACCATCCCGGACACAGGATGTTGCGGCGAACGGCACAAGGTGTGCCTCGCCCGTGGGGACATATTAGGGGTGTGACGAAACACTTGAGAAAGCACAATACTGGAGTCTCGAGAACGAGACACCAAGATACTCCAAAGCTGTTTAGAAGAAATATTCTTTGATGAAACAGGCTATTCGATTTGGGGGTTCTGGGGGTTCCTCCAGAAGATTTTGAGCATTAAACTCTTAATATTCTGCATTCTAGAGACATTTTCTGCACCAATTTATGGTGGAAATGTCTTAATTTATATGAAGGGAAACACAAAATTCATGTGGCCGCTGACAATCCAGAATATTATCGAATATAATGCAGTAATCAGCAGCTTGTTTTAGCCTAAGTTACTTAAAATGCATTTCATGGTTTCCTATTGTGCCAGAAAGCCTTTCTCATAGAATTTTTATTTATTTAACATTTCTTGTTGCAAGCTAATTTTCAGAAAACATTTGGCAAATGTTTTTAAGGTTTCATTTAACAACAAAGGAGAACGTTTCTACTGCTGACAGCCGTCAGAGGAGGCTGCAGAGAAAGAGTAAAGTGTAAAACAGGTGTTGTGAAAAGGAAAATGATGATGGAATTCAACCGAATGACCGTAGATCGGATGTCTCGTCACTTTAAGGTCACTCTATTTCAGGTTCTAAAGTTTCTACCACGAGCTGCATATTTAAAGGCAAAGGCTCAGAAAGCTGCACGATTACTGCTGACTGAGAGAAAAACACTTTGGAAGGTCAAAGAGAGTCTGAACAGACAAGAGGAACAACTGATGAGGGAAGCAGAACCGGCTAACGCTCCGTTAGCCACCCTGGGAAGAAATTAAGTTACCGCCATCGCTCACCAGGCATCGAGTAAACCGTCTCAGAGTTACAGGATGAAAGCACCAATGAAAATCCAGCTGGACTGACGCCACCAGTATCTGCTGCTGATCCTCTGCAGCTCAGCAGGGGAGCTTGGAGAAGCTGCCATCATGTCTAATCAGCTTTTCTATAGTTATATTTTACATCGTAGAGTGAAATACGTACATTTAAGCCCTCCTAATTAGTAAAGACCAAACAATTAATGAAGGAACTCTAAAGTCACCGCAGTGAAGATCCCAGCAGCTGATACGGAGCCCAGACGATTAAAGTTCTCTTCAAAAGTTCTGCTGCTTTTAACCTCCTTCCATTCCTGTCAAATTCATGCTAAACGCCTCTTCAAGGCAGATCCACAGTAAACTGAATGAGTATCTGCCTGGTTTTGGGCGTCTCTGAAAGAGAACAGACTGAATGTAAGAGCTACTGGAATTGATTAATATAAGTTTAGACACACTAAAACTAAAATATTTTTAGTTTTAATATATTCTGCTTGAAAATGTTTGCCAACAAATGCATGCAGACAGCTACAGCTGGAAAACACTGTAGGACCGCAGCAGAAAACAGGGGCCGGCCCTTCCTTACAGCGCGGGCTCTCATTGGCTGCTGTAGGCTGTGAAAGGGACGTGAGCTCCTATTGGGTCAGATTTGGTGTCAGTCAAAAGGTCAGAGTTCAGTGGCTAATTTGAATATAAGCTATTGTAGTTGTTTACGTCCAAGTCTGACAGAGGCGCTGATCGGACCGGCCGCGGTGACTGTATCTTGAAATGATTTGCACTGGTGGACATGAAGTTACCGGAGCAGCTGTGGGCACATACCGAAAGCTGCCGCCAGGATCATCGACAGCAGTGACAACGGTCCCTGTGGCGTCCGGACCTTTCTGGAGCGGGTCGTGAAGGGTCCACCTAGAGAACGTGGAAGTGACACAGGGACGAGGGGCTGCGCCGCTGTCCTACTGCTTAAAACAATGAAGACTTAACAAGGAGGAACCGTGCTGTGAGAGAAGACACGAGGCTCCTGCAGATCATGCAGAAACCCACCACTGCTCCACCTTGTTAAGGTGGATAACGCCGTCGTGCCAAATCATCGGTGCACTGCTGCACAACGAGCCGTGAGCTGGAAAAGAAAGGTTCAAGGGAACAATGAGAACCTTCAGGAGTACGCAGATGGTTCTGATGTCATCTCAGAACTTTATAATATGGTTCGGCATCGTGGGGCGAAGACAAAGAGTGTTTGAGACTGTCAGTTTCAACGGAAACCTCCCTGTTGGGGTTCTTGTGAGATGTAGACAGGAACCAGTCGCTGTAATGGCGGACATAAAGGCCATGTTTCATCATGTGATTCTGTGGTGGCCTAAAGGAGGCCGCAGGATTGAAGTTCACGTCTTCGGAGTACCAGTTGTGCCACGTGTGCTCTGAAAAGCGCGTCTGATTGTCATCAGGCTGACCTCAGAGACAAAGTGCTGCAGAACTTCGCAGGTTGAAGCATCTCCAGAGCTCAGTGTGGATAAAGTGCAGTGAGCACTCAGCGTACACACACCGGTGTGCAGGATCAGCTTTGTTCATGTTCATGGATAACCAGGTGGAAATCTGGAACTAAGCTGAATGAACATGACAGAAAGATTTACAGCTGGGGCCGGGTTTCAGTGATTACTGTAGATAAAACTAGGGACGCACCCAAATACAAACAGCGAACAAGTACATTCACATTTTATCCATTTATTTTCCCGCTGCATAAATTAAACAAAATGAGCTTTTTCCTCAGTGTTTCCCACAGGATGTGGAGAGACTATGGTGGGGGGGTCCGGGGCCCGAGAGGGCCATTTCCTTTTAATGGACACATGTGACATGTTTTATACTTTCTGTAAATATAATCCATTTAATCTTATTTCCATCCTGTACAGACGCCTTATTTTGAAAACTGGGCGTGGTCACATGTGTTTCCTCCTCGCGCTAAATTCATCCAGTCCGACCCGGTTTGATAAATAATGTTGAACATGAAACTTCACAGCCTCTCTTCATACTAAAGAGACAAACTGACAGGATAAAGTCTCTAACCTGCCTGTCAGCTCGCTCTGGGCCGCTTCACTTACCGTAAAGGCAGGAATACGTGTGCACTCTGAATGTAGGTGCAGCTATCTTCCACGCTGCTGACATGTCAACGTGATTGTTTGATAAAATTTATTTGGTCTTTTGACTTTTGGTGGCTGAACATTCGGTGCATCCCTAAGAAAAACGCGACTTTATTCTCCGGTTTTGGTGAACCTGGATCGTATTGATGTCCTCCGGCTGCTCTGCTTCAACAATTCCCTGATGGACAGATCTTACTTGTTCCTGAAGTAACCGCTAACTGCTGCTATCTGCCGCTAACTGCCGCTAACTGCCACTCACTGCCGCTAACTGGAACTAACTGCTGCTAACTGCTGCTAACTGGAACTAACTGCTGCTAACTGGAACTAACTGCTGCTAACTGGAACTAACTGCCGCTAACTGCTGCTAACTGCTGCTAACTGGAACTAACTGCTGCTAACTGCTGCTAACTGCCACTAACTGGAACTAACTGCTGCTAACTGGAACTAACTGCCGCTAACTGCTGCTAACTGCCACTAACTGCTGCTAACTGCCGCTAACTGGAACTAACTGCTGCTAACTGCCACTAACTGGAACTAACTGCTGCTAACTGCTGCTAACTGCCACTAACTGGAACTAACTGCTGCTAACTGGAACTAACTGCTGCTAACTGGAACTAACTGCTGCTAACTGCTGCTAACTGGAACTAACTGCTGCTAACTGCCACTAACTGGAACTAACTGCCACTAACTGGAACTAACTGCTGCTAACTGCCACTAACTGGACCTAACTGCTGCTAACTGCCACTAACTGGAACTAACTGGAACTAACTGCCACTAACTGGAACTAACTGCTGCTAACTGGAACTAACTGCCGCTAACTGGAACTAACTGCCGCTAACTGGAACTAACTGCCGCTAACTGGAACTAACTGCTGCTAACTGCTGCTAACTGCCGCTGTTTTCTAATTAGCTCTGAGCTGGACTTAAATCACATTTTAACGCCGTTACAAAGGTCACATTTTTAG